TTGCAGCCTCTCAGTACTTCAAGGGGGCCTATAAGAAAGATGGGGGAAAACTTTTTATCAGGGCTTGTTGCTACAGGACAAGGGGGAATGGCTTTAAACTAAAGGGGGGTAGATTTAGACTAGCTATAAGGAAGAAATTTTTTACGCTGAGGGCAGTGAAACACTGGATCAGGTTGCCCAGAGAAGTTCCCATCCCTGGAAACATTCAAGGTCAGGCTGGACGGGGCTCTGAGCAACCTGATCGAGTTGAAGATGTCCCTGCCCATGGCAGGGGGGTTGGACTAGATGACCTTTAGAGGTCCCTTCCAAGCCAAACTGTTCTATGATTCTATGATTCTTCCTTCTCGGTCTAGAAAATGGGTTGGAAAGTCATCCCAGATGTAACATTTTCTCCATCCTTATTTGAACAGAAAAACTAAGAGAAGCAGTCTTTCTTGTAATGTGTTAACAATTCTGCATCAACACCAAGCCTGGTTGATGGTACATAAAGCTAAAAATGAATAAAATCTTCACTAAATTGCTTTGAATGTTCAAACAGACTGAGTTTGCTTTTTCAACTGAGGCTTATACCACTTCCAGTTTTTCCTCAAAACATTTGCTTATTCATATATTTATCACAGAAATGGCCTTACCTCAGCTGCATCTTGCTGGTCTCTGAAGACAATTGCATTTTTTATGGATTGGATAAAAAATCCATTCAGTTCCTTTTGTTTCTTGTTTGGCAAAATCCGGAGCAATGGGATCATTATGAATGGGAAAGAAACTGTAAGAGATTTTGAAGAAGAAAACACAGAATCAGACTGTAAAAGCATATAATATCCCCCTCCTTTCATTAATATTATAAAGCTCATCAAGTGGGATGTGTTACTTTTGTGAAACCTGTTTCTTCCCCTTTCTCTCTCCCTCTTCCTCTTTTTCTTCCACCCCCATAGCCTGGTAAAGGATTTTCTTTTAGAAATTCCATGTTGGCTGGGACTCCCCTGCCAGACAGGTGCCTTCCAAGCTTGCTTCCACAATGCTTCAGGATTTCAGTTCAGCTTCATGATGCCACAGAGCTACCACAAAGGGGAGAATTATTTTCCCTGTCTACTCAAACAATTGCATACAGAAGGTGGGGGATCTTGAACTAGCCTAGCAGCTTATGGCACTGATCCATGAAATTGTGTAGTAGTCATTCTCTTTTACAGTTCTCCAATACTAGGATATTGCTATTTTATTTTGCTTCTCTAAACAGGCCACAGACTCTGGAAGTGGGATGTTATCACAAGGATGGTCTCCAGTCCATGGCCTTTATAGTCAGGAACTAGAAACCTGAGTGAAGTCTTGCATCTTAATAAAAACCTCACTAACTTATGAACAATTTAAGACTAACAAGTCAGTCGTCGGAAAACCCCTGTGCTGCCAACAGGGCAACACAGTGTGGAAATTCAGACCACATAATGTACCAGCAGAAAGAGATCAACCAATGAATCCAACCCCAAACCCTACAGAAACTTTCTTTAATGAAGGACACGGTCTTCGACCTAAAGGGGCACATTTCTGTCCCTTCAGAAATTAGTCACAAATCCCACTTTGCAATCAGGTTAAACATTAACCCCAGGACATTTTGGATACACAACTCCAGAAGGAAACAGTTCACGTGCTGCTAGTACAGGTGCAATCTGTAATGCCAGCAGGATCAGATGGGCACAGGAAACTTTGCCACTGTGCCGCCTGACACTACTGTGAGCAGGTCTAGCTAGCAAGATGGTAAAACCTCAACAACCTCGATTATGCTGTGGCTTCCTCAGCTATGATTCTTACTGCCCTTGCATTAACAATGCCACCGACACCGTGAAGCCTTAGCTTTCATGCCCTAGAACTAAATGGCTTTATACCCCATTCTTGCATTCCCTATCCACCTGAAAATAAATGCATTCTCTTAATGATAGCCTGTGCTGGCACTTATCATCTTTATCTTTTATAGCCATCAACTAAGCTGCTGCTGCTGTTCAAATAAGAATTTGGAGGACTTATACTATCTGCTTATGCTTCCCCACCTCTTTCTTTTCTTTAGTGGGTTATTAGCCCACTGTTGTTTATGCATGGGATTTCAATCTCTACCAAGCAAACCCAGTGCACAAAAACTTTACTCTCAGGCTCCAAAGGGCAGTTACTCTGTTTTAATGCAGAAGTGTATTAAAAGAGATACCGTAGAAACTACAGGTCCCAGAAACCTTCCACTCAGATCAACCTGGAGCATTGCCTTCCCAGACTCTCAGTTTCCGGAGGAAGTTGCATTAATGGTGACAAGAGCTGTAGAGCATATGGTGGAAGTCTCGAGGGTATACTTGGCCTGTAGGTTTTACTCTGAACACCTCTGAAATAAAGTCTGCTATACATCTTCCTGCTCCTGCTTCAGCATGTTTTGCAATTTGAGAACGACTTTTAGAAAATGACCATAAAGAAGTAGACAAAGCTAGACTATACTCACGGATTAGAATGAGGAGAGGCTTAAACAAAGACATTTCAAAGAATGTTCTGCAATTCTTAACAAAGGGGTCATCAGGATTCTTCTGAGAATCCACCTCAGTACCAAAAGCTACGCTACCAACGACATCCAAGGTAAAACAGTTGTAACACCTGCATCGAGTTGAAGAATGATAAATCATTAGCTACAAATTACATATCCATTAATATCTTGCTTCTACAAACATCACATAACATTAATTTTTGCCTCCGATTTTCTTTTTGCTTTTAGATTTGAGCTTTGCCAACACGATATGTTTCCATCATTCTGACAAATGCTGGTGCTTAATAACGATCACCTTCTCTCCGTCTACAAAGTGAACATATTTTCATATAGATCAATAATTCCACTAAAAATTTATAAAAAATAAACAATTTCATTTGTTATTACCTAGAAATCAAATACAACCGATCAGAGATTCGTAAGCATTTTCTTAGTATGCATCCTAATAAAAGAGATCACTCCTTTCTCATTTTAAACTGCAGAAATCACATCTACTACCAGTCCAGTCTAAACTCTCAGTGACAAGAGGTGCTTAAGTAAAATTTCCTGTTAAGGATTTCCTTCATCTTCTTGATAGCTCCTTTGTAATGTAAAATCGTGGCCAAAACCAAGAGAAACTGACACCATGTGAAATCTGTCTCTGCAGAGGAGCAGCAAATGCTTTGAGAACTACAAATGACCTGTGGACCATGATCTAGAAACTTCAGAACTTACTGAATCTCTCCCTGCATATCTGACCATCTATCCAGTTCTCTCACCATCTTTATTTCTACTGGGCATTAGCAGCTGTATTTAGTTTTGAGATAAATGGACTGAGAATGTAAAATATCCTTGAAATTTGATTCTTCTGATCTGTGGTGAAGTCTGCAATGACTGTTCTTCTATGTTCCCTTACAAAAGGCTAATATCAAATTCTCTGGTGTTTTAACCTGAGTGAGCATGTATTAAGAGAAGGACAGGACTCAGGCCCAGTATATCCTGTATAGATATTGTGAAGCAGCATTTCTAAACTATGATCTTTGGGCACTGTCATTCTGATGACACCAGAGCAGATTTGGAAGATAACAACAGTACTGCAAAGCTAAGTAACTTATTTGGGTTGTCAACTCTTACACACAAAACCCCCACATTATTAGAAGTTGAAATGTTAAAAGAGGGGGCACTGCAATAAAACAATAATTTCAGAAGCACTCGATCATCTACCTCTCCAAGGTACTGAAAAAGCTTAAAAACTAAATTTTGAGTTGTTGGCGAAACACAAAATGGCTAAAGACAACTAACGTACAACACAACAGGAGGCTGCAGACAGGGTATTTACATCCAAAAAATAGCTCTCAAGGCAATTCTGGGAAACTGCAGTGCAATGACAATCACATTTATATATGTCAAACCTGCTGAAATGGTAGTATGATAAAACAACTGGAAGATCATATTCTGAGATGGTCAACATCATTCATTTATACTTTCAAAAGGTCTTTTCCAAAGTGCCTCTTGAGAGGTGAAACCCTCAAGGATCAATAGCTAAAAGACCAGGCAAAGAAAAAGGACAAATGGAAAAAAGGGAAAAGCCTGGAAGGACTCAAAAGGTCAATTTTCATCAGAGCACTAGGCTAAACGTAATGTATCTCAAGGTTTCATGGCATCTCTTCAGATGTTTAATAAAGAGATCTCTGTGCACACACATACACTTGTGTATGTACTTGAAAAGAGATGGATGAATTATGGCTAAATATCTATTTCTTTAGATGAAAGAAAATTATTTGCACTGCTCCCATTTCGGGGAAATCATGAAGAACTTCAGAGGGCACTGACCAGCCTAGCAAATGAAGTGTATGCAAAATAGTGCCTATTAGAAAGAATGCATTTGAACTACTCATATGCCGTACACGGTCCTAGAAGAAATGCATCTGCTCAGAGAAGGGGCTAGACATTGTTGTGAACAGTTCAGTGAAGACCTCTGATGAAAGAGCAACAAAAAAGATAATAGGATATTAAATGCATAAGAAACGGGAGAAAGCACAGTATGGAAAATATTAAAGTGTCATTTTATAAATCAATGGTGCATTCTCATCTGGACTACCGATCCCGTCATTTCACAAAAGGCTAGCGTGCCATTAGAGGGGGTTAGGAGGAATGTGGGAAGAATGATTAAGTGCTCAAAAAACCTCATATAAAAAAAGCAAGAGGATGATGGACTAGAGGGATTTGATACTAGATCAATTCCTATATCTGTACATTATTGGCAGACTGTAGAGAGCAGACTGGACAGGGACTGATGCAGCTTTCCTTTCTGCTTCCAGCTGTTAAAACTTCATTAAACAACAGCTAGAAATACATTAGATGCTTTTCCAAAATTACTTTTCAAGTATGCAATGGCTGCCCCCAGGAAGAAAAGGCATCTATCAGACACATCCTCTATTAAACTATGATCTCCACTTACAAAAACGAGGGAGGGAAAAAATAAAATCTTCTTTTATACAGTAAGCGCATATTTAGAATAACTGCTGCTATTGACTTTTTTTTTTAAATCTGCTACTAATTTCTGGCATGTTGAACATACCTCTGGATATCAAAAGCTTTGCCAGAATCTGCATAGACTTTCAAGTTACACAGCAGGATGTCACAGGCCTGGTTTATCAGCGGTATCATCTAGAAAGGAACACATTGTATTGTGAAAAACATTAACATGTTAAAAAAAAACCCCAAAACAATTATTCTAAATTAGTTTTACCCAGTAGATGGGACGGAGCTCTCAGGATCCTCTGCAGGTGTGGTCAGGCACTTTTGCACAGGTAAGATGAAATGTTGGGACTGTCTGCTAAAAATAAACCTACACATTACAGGGATGCCCTTCTCCAGCTCTGGGCCTAAACACAAAAGGCCCTGTCGCTTACCTGACCTTTGGTTCTTGCCCACCTGTGGCTACATACGCAGAGAGCTATAAAGCAAAGACATCCCCCTCTCTTTTTAATCATTCCCTGTTCCAACTGATGATTTATCACGATCCATATTTACAGTACATTACATTTAGGCTACATATGCTCCAGGGCAGAAGGAATAATATTTTCCATAGTCCCAAAGTCCTGTAAAGATATTAGCATCAGAGGCCCAGCATTTCCGTCCTGGTCCTGCTGTCCCTCAGTTTGAGGGATTTACCACGTACATTGGAAAAGCACCATGTATACCACTACAAGTTGCTGAGGGCAAACTGCTGTTGCTACCTGAGGAAAGGGTTTTCTGGAGTGGTGACGCCATTAAGTGGACAATCACGTGAATTTATTCAGCTAATGGTTCTTTCCAGTCACTGACACATGATGGTCAGGTAGACTTACCCACAGCCTGGCTGTAGCTAACAGTGCAATAGTCTCTTCTTTAGCGCTTTATGGAAACCATGACATAGGCAACCATCAAGACCTCATTAAAGTCTCTCTCTCTCTCTTTCTCTTTAACTTTTTACATATGAAAGGCATCAGACACTTGCCTTGATTACACCTACTAGGGTGTTAGAGGAAGGGTGTAGCAACAATCCAGCCATGACCCTAAGGGCATTATCTGCTATGGCCCTTTCTCCATACAGACTGCTAAGAGATCCTTATAGCCTACAATTTAATACCACAGTCTTGCCTCAACAATCATGCCAAGCATCAGCAGACATACGCACAGAAACCTGCCTTTCCTTCCTGAACAACCTCCTTCAGCATACGGATATCAACAAACATGAGAACAGACTTGTCCTACTCCTCTGACATTCTTGTTGCCAAAAAAGACTTACTGCAGCCTCTCAGCACACTCCGAGAGCTATGCAGCCCACCCAGCCAAGTCCATTTTGCTTGGCACTTCTACCTCTGCGAAACTGGCATAACACGTTGTGCACAGGCACACTGCCATCCTAACACATGGGCAAGACTATATGCAGTCAAAAGGCCAACGCGGGAGCATCCAACATGTTTTCCAAAGGCGGAAGTCTGAGTCAAGAATGTGTCTAGCTGCTCTCGAGGTCCCGTACCTATATGGGATGGAGCAGGTTGTCGCTATTTCAGTTCAAAGCCGGATTGATTTGGGCTTTGCCACAGTCTCACAAGGCAATTCTGAAGCCAGATTAGTATTCAGTAAAAGTAGCTGGTATGTGTTTGGGGGGTGCACACCACGTTATGTGGCAGTTTTCTTCCCCTTTTGGCTTTCTAAAGAAGGTCCCCTGCAGTGAGCTTCTTCTCAAATGGTTCAACAAAATTAACACATTTCTGTTCAACGGATTGAACCAGGGTGAAATGCTTTATAATCTCTGGTCCAGCCCCTCCAATGAACTGAACCAGTCAAGGAGAACAAAATGAAAATCCATATTTTAACAGGTATGATGTTTCCTAAACAGATGGTGATCATTTCAGATTTTCCTTTTATTGCCTTATTTTCTCTCTTATTCTTCATCACATCACCGGACCTGCAACCACCCAGCTGGTTGCTATTGCTTTCCAACAGCTGGCAGAGATGGCAGGGGTACGTACGCCTGGCCAGGGCATCTCACAGCACCTCTGCACTTTCCACATTCCACCAGCCTTTCAAAATACCGTTGCAATTCATTTCTAGCCATAAGATATTTTTATTAGCAAATCTAACCAGGAAAATGGGGAGGGGGGCACATGGATTTGATTTATGGTTAGCATGATAGGACAGAGTCATATCAATGAGACAATTATTTGCATATGAAAGCTATGGGGGATATCTACTCGGGAATCCTGGGTTTGGGTTTTTATTCCCCTAAGGGACATAAATTAGTCCAAGATTGCTAACTACACAGACCACAGACTGAAACATTCTCAAGTCCCTTAACACTTTAAACCTTTGTTCAATTGTCAAGAAAAATAAAGTAGTGTTTGGGGAAGTGAACAATACCAAACTTTGAAAACCGGCACAGAAACAGACATGTTGATCTGCACCGCCTTGGGTATCGCTAGCTTCCTATACATTATCATTTGCCAGTCAGAACATAAAAGCTGCATAACCTGCCTGAGATTCAGTTCTTGGTGGGTAAACAAACCCCAGCTGCTCTGTGTTCAGATTGGCTGAGAGTAACAGGATGAAGAAAAATCTAAACAATATGGTCCCTGTAAATATTTGATCTGCCAGTTATCTAATAGCAAGAGTAGCCCAGAGTCCAAATTTCTTTCTTTCTGCCAAAGAAGAGCATTTGGGGTTAGGGTTTTCATGATGCCAGGAGCTTTGCTGTATAAATCCTGCCAATATGCTATTTGGCACATAACAACAATTAGTTTCTGATTCTGCATACACACAGTGCATGGGGGATGTTTGCACTGTTCAAAGGCATCAGAGTCATGTTCCTCTAGTTAGATGTGGTCCTCAGTATTCACTATTATTATTCCCCTTATTATTAGCACCCAAACTATAAAGTAGAAGGCTGGGTCATATTCACTGTAGACAGACACACTGGAGACTTTACTGTTCAGATACAGTACGCAGAGGTCGCATTGGGCCTCTTGTCCCACAAATGGGATGAAATAGAAAGGAAAGAGAAGGAAAAAGGATATATCCCTAACATAAGAACTGCTTCTGTACCAGATTTCAAGTCCTTGACTAAAATCAGGAAAAAAGCGGAGCTTCAGGAAGATGTTTGTGAGAGGATTTGTTTCCATCACCTCACAGTGAAGCCCTGCTATTCATGGGCACAACTTACCAAAGTGAGCAACTCAACCGGACACTGACTCGTGGCTCAAGGATATGCACATTTCACATATCAGCTTTTACATTAGTGATTTGCTTTGTCTCAGGTGAGCACACTCGCTTTGCTGAGTAACAATAGCAATTTCCAGAGACCCTTTCAAAATGCCTCTGACGAATGTGCACAAGCAGAGTAAGAGCAAATCAAGGAAACCTCAACGGTTGGACTGTCAGATCTTATGTTCTAGTGGGACCTGGAAGATCTACATGCCTGAGAGTGACGCTAGAGGATTTTCCTGCACTGTTCTGCCATGTTATCACAAGTTCTGCTTTGTGTCTCCCTTTGTTTGAAAGAAAATGCCTCAACACAAACTCCACTTAGCAGGTTATTTAGGACAATGCTACACGATGCTGTGCTCTCTTCTTTAATTTTTGTGTTCTGTTTTGTTTTAATGGTTGGGTAATGGAGAAGAGGATTCCCGGCGTACTGATAGGAGATGACAAGACTACTGCAGCAACATCAGAATAAATAAAAATCAATAGTTTTTCTGCTGGTGTTGGCTGTAAAAGAGAGCAAAGCTATTTATCAAGTCTGACAAGGGGTCCCGAACTGCAGGATCATCACAGGCACCACAGCAAAAAGAAGAGGAACAAAATAAGAAATACTAAATAGGGAATCAAGATCGGTACAGCAAGATCACTAACATATCAGCTTGTTTCAATATATAATAGCTGAGGAGAGCATGACAGAAACACTGGGAAATGCATCTTTTACTTAAGGACCTTCAGGTATTTTACTTCACCAATTCCTCACAAATTACATCTTCGATCAACTTTCAGTGGTCAGTATTATTCCCATTTAACAGATGAAAGCCGTTTCATGCACAGAGAATTTAAGTAGCTTCTGCCAGATCACCCACAGGCAGTCAATGGCAGAGCTGGAAGTGAAACTTCTTGGGTCTCCTGCCTCCTATCTCTCATTTCTCGTTCTTAGTGCTCCCATAGCAATGGCACTATGGGAGTGCACTATGGGAGGTCCATTCAGGGGTCTCACTGGAAAGAGCTTATTATCAGATCTGCTACCAACTCCAGTGGCATCTCATGTGGGATGCTACCAAATCTTACCGCAGGATCAAGCTTAGAAGTCTATTGATTTATGCTATGCTTACCACTATAGTATTTGCATTTAATGTTATCTGGAGCCAAACCTTCCTTCAGTTGGAGTGGACTGCTTTACCGATCTTTACATACTCATTAGAAAAAGAAAACTAAAAAGGGAGAACACACAGTATATAGAAATCCATAAAAGCAACAGTGAAACAGTGCATGGCTTTTAAAGAGAAATTGAGGAGACAGAGAGAGAAAGCTGGAGAAGATGCCAGAAAACCTTGGAAAATGTTAGGAAAACAACTCTCTGTGTACACGCAGCAATCGCTACGCTGGCTACCCAACAGCTCTATAACCTCTAGTTTCAGTTAATTGCTCGTAACTTTGCAAACTTCAAAATTTCTGGGATCAACTTTTCCTCATGTGGTGACTGGCTTTGCCAAACTAAGGAGAAATTCCTCAAGCTTAGTGAACTTCTCAGTGACGCTACACCGCTTCCGTGGAGAGACGAGGGCAAAGTACATCTCTGTCCCCAGCCACAGCACCTAGATGCCTCTGTGGGGCATTACGGGTCAAACCTTAGCAACATACATTAGCTCTGTCTTGGGCTTTGTCCTCCAGCAGCTAGGCCAAAGAGTGGATGACCAGCTTCTTGTTATTTCTAGTGCTGAAGCTGTTCTTTAGCCTAGTAGTAGATTCTTGTGTTTCTGAACTGGAGATATCAGGAACCTACACTCAACTCTCCGGCCCTCTGTGCATCTTTTATCTGAAGTGATTGCTATGGGGAGCACGAGGAGTTGTTAACATTTATTGCTCTGTCACAGGCTAATAGCTCCCAGTTCTCTCAGAGCATCCAGACAGACAAGTCT